ATTCTCCGACGTGCTTCAATGGCGATAACAGTAGCAGCAGCTTCGTCTTCTATGGCAGTGATGGTACCACGTGTCCCTGCCGTCTCAGCCCGTTGCTCCGCCGTACCTTATCTTCCTCCTCGCTCTTTTGGCCGATCCTCCTTCACTGTTCCGGTCAAGCTAATCTCAGGTGACCGATTTCTCTTACCAAATTTCTCTGAGATTAGAATTCCGGTCGGGTATTGAAATTTAGCGATGCGGCGGTTCGATTGACCCGGTTTATAAGAGTAGCAAATGCGAAATGATTGAATTTGAAAACCGAAATTGAGGGGGTTTTATGGTTACGATTTGGTTAATCTAAACCAGAAATTGGGATTCTCCGGTTCAATTCGCAGGGAATGGTTTGCAGAAAGTTGAATTGATGAAGACGAGAGCTTCATCAGAAGAGACCTCGACGTCCATTGACACTAACGAACTCTTCACAGATTTGAAGGAAAAGGTGAGAGACATTGCTTTGTTGATCAAACAAAACACGAGTTTCTTGGTATTGATTGTTTGGTTTTTGGTGCAGTGGGATGGTCTTGAGAACAAGTCGACTGTTATTATCTATGGAGGAGGAGCCATAGTTGCTGTTTGGTTATCTTCCATTGTTGTTGGTGCCATTAACTCTGTTCCTCTGGTAACAAAACACAATCTTTAAAAAACCCTTTTTGAGATCAGAGAATGTGTAATGTTGCTTGTCTGATTCATAATGATGTTTTGTTTTGTGTTTGTGTTTGTAGCTTCCGAAAGTCATGGAACTTGTCGGTCTCGGGTACACAGGATGGTTCGTTTACAGATACCTTCTCTTCAAGGTAACAAAACTGCGAACAAATCTCTTTATAATCTCTAAAGCATCTCTATCAATGATATATGATCATGAATCAAATTTTTTTTGTTCTTCTTTGTTTTCAGTCGAGCAGAAAGGAATTGGCTGAAGATATCGAATCCTTGAAGAAGAAGATCGCGGGAAGCGAATAGATTCATTCAATAAAACCACCTTTCTTTCTTTCTGAGTTTTTCCTCTGTTGTTGTATCATGTTATTATACAATTACTCTGTTTCAACAATGTATCTGCATCTGAAACTATTATCTTAGATCCTTGGGCATTGAAACCAATTAGTCCTCAAAACTGACCCCAATACAAAAGAAAGAAGATGGCCAAAATATGCATTGAAAAAGACTATATATACATCATCTGCAAGTACACAGCCTAAATCCGACCAAAACCAGTACTTGTGGTTTATAACCTAAGAAAAAGCTGAAGCTAACAAAGGGAAGAGATATATGGTTGGTCCTAAGGGCAGATGGAGAGCTTGGCCCGGAGATGAAGAACGTCATTGATGAAGTAAGGACAAGTCTTAGCCATGAAACTCTCCCATGGTATCGCAAACAAGTTTCTTAATCCAACAGATATATTACCTGTGAAAGTGTATCTCATTTTGCTTTTTCCCACAAACTCCTCTGTTGGCTTCGACCTCGCTGCAAACTCGCACTCCACAGTGAGACTCACCAACCCGCACTCTTGTATAGCAATATACAATCCAAAGTGAAACGAATTTGGCTGTTTCATGTTGCAGTCAGCTATGAGAAAAAAGCCTTGTCCTCCTAAGTGAAACGCTTGAGAATATAGCTGATTGGATGGATAGAGTCCCGCGCATTCTTTGTGAGATAAGTCTAAGTAAACGATGCATTGTTGACGAGGAATCTCAAATTCCACAATTTTGATGGGTCTGAATTTGTAGTCTCGTTCAACATACCAGTGGGCAAGTGAGTCATGTTTTTTGGAGGCTCGACTGCGTTGGCGGTGCTGTGATTCTGCTTTGAAGAAGAGAGCTTCAAGGACTAGCCTTGTTTTGTCAGGATGTGTAAAATCATCCGACGTCCAGATTTTCCTGAGTCTGGGACATGACATGTGAGGGAAACGAATGTAGTTAGCGAGAGAGGCGAGGATTTCTTGGCGTTCTTCCGAAACTGAGTAATGTGTTTTGGCCCATCTCAAGACAAGTTCGTATAAAGTGTCTTCTGATATAACCTGTAGATCATCACTTGCTATTATTGCCTCGAGACCTACTAACGGTAAAGCCATCAGCTCGTTTAGTTGAACCCTATAAAAAAAATAAGCTCAAAACGTGAGAATGATTTTTCTTTTCTTGAGCTCTCATTTGAAAGTTTGATGATAAAGAAGCGTACTTGGATATGTTCTTGTAGCGAGAGGCGATGAATTGCCTTGCAGCATTTGTCAAAGGCTCTACTGAAGCAGCTGCTTGAATACTCGAGGGAAGCTCAAGAAGAAGCAATGCAAAGTCTAGGGTCATAGGCGTATTTAACAAAAAATTGCAGCAATACTTCATACACGAAGCAACCTCAAACTTGTCCGCGACCGTTAGAACATCGAGCAAAGCTGGGGCAGTTGTGACTGATAGTGAATTGGTATACATGAAATTCAAGAGCTCCATTACAGCAACTTCCTCTGCAAAGGAGA